CCGTGTTCCTAACAATTAAAACAGCTTCTGTTCCCTTCCAAAAGGTAACCCAACCAATGAGTGGGCAAGGTATAACAACAGTCTCAACTGATATTTCAGATAGGGACAAATAAAATGTGTGGACAAAACCATCATCAACATCTCTGATAGCCTAAATGGAGTGCTCAAAACACAAACTGCCCGGCCTTCTTTGAAATTCCTTGTAATTAAATTACACTGTATACATAACATCTCAAGCATAAGATATCATTGTTACTAGCCTTTTTTTTCTTTAAAAATTAAATTTTAATAACCTTACAAACCAACATCTCAATACCTTTAAGGAATTAATCTTGAAGTACTTGCTGGGTCCAAAATAAATGTCACTATTTTGATTCCAAAATATTTATTAACTTAATAGATATGAAAGTCTTCTGTATATATTTTTTTCCAAGAGTATTCTCTTCTCTTTCTACAATGAAAATCTGAAAATATATTCCCAGTTATTCCATTACTCAGCCTAGCAAACAATAAGACTTATATCTATACCCATCATCCCATACAAAAAGTGTTTTTCTAAACATTTTTACCTATCTATACATCACAGTGTCATGTCATTTTTTCCATTAGAAAAGAACATACCCATTTAACTCAACGTGATAGATTTCTGTAATTGTTCTGTCAGTACACAAACATATAAACACTTGTGCCATTCTGAAGTACCCTGGAAAACGTAAACAAGTACCTGTGAAGGCAATATACAGAGAAAGCAAAATGCCAAACTTGAAAACTGGTGACTAACAAAAATACGTACAACACTTTTCAAACCCTTTACTCCTCCAAAAAATGTTTGTTCTGGTCTTGAAATGTGACAAGAGGAAATCCTTCACATGTATAATTTTCGCATTAAGTTAACAAGTCAACAGAAGAGGGGCATATGATCAATTGAGTAAAACCAAATTTTAAGAGTAATTATTCACTCGCATTGAATTTTAATTATTGGTAAAAATACAGTGAAGATGATCATTTTTACATGACAATAAGAGGTGTTTGTATAAGGCTCATTTAAAATCAATGAGGTATGATGGGTTAAGATCTTTTGCATATGATTTGGCTACTGAGTAAAAATCCAGCACATCTACAGAGTAGGTTGTTATACAACAAAGAAATCACACCCTTTCTTTAATTTATCAATAGATTTAATAAACATAGACAATATGAAACATTTTTTAATTTTTTCTTCCGGAATCATAATGCATTCAGCTGCTTGTATCTTTGAAACATACAATATTTTGTTTTATACCCTTTTTCAGTAAAAATTAATAAATAAATAACTTTAAAAAGGAGGAAAAAAGACCTTTTAAATTGGGCTTAGAAAGAACAGCGGCAAACATATTATGTAATACACATTACAAAACCAATTATCAATTTAAAGTGCCACTTTCTATTCAAGATTCAACATTTTGAGTGTAATGGGTGGGTTTAGCTTCCACTAACGGCAATATTTTATGATTCATATCACCTTTAATATTAAAGTTAATCTTTTTTTCATTAATTAAAATTCAATGTAGCTTACCTACAAATTTGGACGTAGAAAATCCCACGTGCTATGAAAGAGGTTCACAGGGACAACTGGACCATTCAATATAGAATGCAACTCCTAGGCTGTAAAAACCACAATGTCCTCGTATAGATCTACAAAAATTATACGTAGATTTAAATCTCTGCACTCTACTAATACATATGATTAAACGGGAGGTCATAATAAAGCCACTGATGCAGAAAATCTTTCAATGCAAGGACCTCTGTATAAAAATTTCTTACCACCCATAACATCTATAAATACAAATTGTTGATTTTTTTCTTTCATTTAAATGCAGCAAGCATGACTAAAGATTATCACAGGTAACCATCAATGTCGCATGTTTAATTTGTGTTGTAATATTTAGCCCTTTTTGTTTATATCTCCGACTCAATCTCGACATTCTGGGTGAACGGAGTTCGATTACTGAGAATTATACAGAACTATGCAATGATTCTACACAAATGACGATAACATGCATTATAGTGATTATAATAAGAAATAGAGTATCCTAATCTCACTTCTTCCAATCAATTAAATGCTCTAGAAATTTAAATAAATTCTAAATTCTAAATTTATCTTACTTTACAGATTTTTCTAATTATATTTGACAAACATTCACTCCATTTTAGCAAAATGAATAGTGATTCCCTTCATTAGCATGTTCAGAATTCATGGAAAAGGAGCATACTTAGACATCAAGAAAAGAGGGATAACTCTACATGAATGCATTTCCCTGATGGCAATTGGTGCTTAAGCAAACAGTTGCTTATAAAGTAAATGAAAGGGCATCTCAGTCTTCAACAAAAGAAACAGACAATTCAAATTACAGAATATCAAAACTCTTCAATGCTCTATGTGATGTAAAAAGTTCTTTTGTTTTAATACCATAATACAATAATCGTGAATATTGAGGCGTCTTTGCAAGAGAACCATTTTGGTCTACTGCACCTACTTTAAGGGTTAACCAAAGATCTTTAAAGCCTGGCTTGTGAAGATAAAAAAAGACATTGAGTCATAAAACTGTAAATGATCATCACTTATGCATATTCTTTTTGGCTTAGATTAACAATGATCTGCACTGGTAAAACCTGCATGCACCTTATATACTGGTACTCAGTACATAAAAATGCCTACTTTACTCTGAACTATCATATTTTTTTATTTCTCTCCCATCCTCTGGGTTTATTACTCCTCTAAAACAGTTTTCAGGAAATGCAGACAGAAATTGTCAAATTTCCCCCCTCTTGATGATATGAAAGATAGAATTGTATATAATAAAAAAAAAAATATTCTGTTCCTTGACATACAATTACTTCATCTTTGATGATTTTGGAACGAAGTGATCTAAGCAGTCTAAAAGAAACGAAGGACAAACCTGGCCAGATATTCAGGCTTTGATTTGATGACCAGCTTCTGCTGCCATGGACAGTGAGTGACCACTACGGTGTCCTGATTGTGTTTACTACATGTCATGCAAAGCTGATGACCAGTCTCTGTCATGATGAGATGCATGGCCATTTCATGCTGCCATGGACAGTGTCTGTGATATTGTCCAGGAAGGGGCCAGTTCCTGGAAACCAAATGTTATAGGAACATGTAGCAAAATAACATTCTCTTTTGTTGCAACTCTTTGATTTTTTTTAACACGCCTCATCTTACTTTTTTCTCTCCTTGAAAAAAAGCATAGCTCAATTTTTTTAAACAATAGATTCCTTTTATCAAAGGCATACATGCTTTGAATACTTTGAAGTAAGTTTGGTTTTAATTGGCCTTGTACATGTAGTTCTGGAGAACTGAAGAAAGTTCATTATATAAAAAAAATTGAAAGATGACACAAAAGCCTACCCACTTTTCAATCATGAAAGCTCAAGATTTTTGGCTCAAGAGAGCTATGATTGCAACAACATTTTGTCACTTTGCTTAATTGTGCTTAAGTTTTATAACTTGATCACTATTAATTACTCATTGATTGGCTGTATAAATTCATAGAATTGAATACTACATTGTATACCAAATGGAAATTTAAATCAAACAATACATTAACAGCACTAACCAATAAAATGGTTTAAATCCTGGTCTGATTTTTTGCATTGTTCTTGAAATCTCCTCTCGTTTCAAATCCGGTGTCATGCCCTGGAAGTGAAAGGTGAAATAACTGCATTGAAAAGAGGCTGGCTTTGTGTCCTCACAGAGGAAAAACCTTTATGGAAGGAGTAATGTGTTGCTCAGATGAGTTCAATTGCCGGTAGCCAAAAAGAAATCACCTGTCTAAAAATTCAAGATATCTGGGTTCAAATCCTTGTCTGTTGCATTTAATTTTTTTTCCTCTCCCAATACAGATCAAAGACCCCTCCCCCTTCCCCAAAGGAAAGATGTATTATTTATCTGAATTTTCCTCAACAACTTAATGGCTGTAAGCTGGGTTTGATTGCCAGTCACCGGATAGCTCAGTTGGAACTTGGAAGAGCACCTGACCGGAGATTCAGGCCCGGGCCCCGTTTCAAATTCAAGTCTGGTCCTCTGCACTTTCTCCTCTCCCTTTACATTTGGTGCTGTACCATGCCCTGGAACTGACTGGTGAGAGGCCTGCCAGGGATGAGCCTGGGTTGGGCCACTTGGAGTCTGAGGGACCAAAGACCTTTAAGGACTGGAAGGAATGTGGCAGGCAGTTGGGTTCGATCACCGGTAGACAGATAGCTAAGTTAACTGGTAGAGCACCTGATCGGGGAATTGGTTTGAATCCCGGTCTGGTCCACTGCTTTCTCCTCCTCTCCCGTTAAACCATTACACATGACATATAAAACAACTTTCTAAATTACTACCTGTGCCCCTACAGCTGCATATGGTTTCCTTATATTTCTGCCATTTATTTACTGCACATTCACAGGTACTTGGATCTTGGTATATTAAATATGAATACCTTGATAAGTATCAAAGGCACTGCCACTGGAAGTTACATGTACATACTTCCAGTGCCCATGAATCACACATACGATCTGTAAAACATTCTGATTCTGAAGAAAAGTTTCTCTGTGAAATGTTGGTTTGGGAAACTTAGGCCTACTTTATGTCTTCTAAAATGCTTATTTAAATTAATTAAACTAAAATGGCCTGCATCATCAAATTGGATCAAGCGTAATTAAGGTATAAAAAATGACCTAATTCTAATCAGACAACCCCTGTCATCTTCTGCACGAATTTCCCGCGGACTACTCGCTTGCATCTTTCCTCTTATTGATGGTGCTAATAAACGCAAAGGTTACAATTCCTTACAATTCGATTACTGCAGCATAATTTTTTTCTTTATTAAATTTCAAATGTAAACATTTTATTTTCGAATAATTACATAAATTCGAACAAAAATTAACTTATATTTTTTTTGATACAATTAATATTCTGTACGTCTTATGTCTTCGTTAAATAGAGTGACCTGTAGTACAAAAATAAAGATGGCCGACCGAGAGGGTCGGCTATCGCCTGCTTGTCTTGATGATTTAGAGGACGAATCCTTAGATCCAAGAATTCATGTATGATTTATAGATAAATTGTACCTACAATTTTACATAAGAATATCTTAGAAATAAGTTAATGTTCTTATTTACCTGTTTAAACGTCAGTGTTTTCAACACTTGAATTTGACAGTTCTTTGTTTTGAATTTAAAAACTGTAGACATGGGACAAATATCAATGTATGTGAGTCAAATAGAAGCAGTTATGCTTTTTTATGTTGATACATTTCATGTCTCATAAACAGACTTCATTTCGTTATTGTGCATTGAATTTTAGGACATCTAATTCTAAGTGGCTTTTTTTAAAAAATCAATATAGGGTGAATTAGAAAGATTGAATAAAGCATCAGAAGAAATAAATAAATTAGAATTGGAGCTTGATGTAAGTACTTTTATATTGAATGCATGATATTATCTTAATGAAGTTTTTAAACTTTGTCTTGGATTTTTCCTTGCAAGCCATTAAAAGATCGAATTGAGAAACAATATGTAAGATACAATATTATAATGATTTTAACATATTTTAGGATGCTAGAGCGAGCTTTAGACAAGCCCTCACAGATTCTACACAACAGCTCAATGCTTTGGCAAAGAAATTGGGTTCCTGTGTTGAGAAAGCTCGGCCTTACTATGATGCCAGGATGAAAGCAAAAGATGTATGTGAACATGTTTTCAAAATGAAAGAAAGATATGCAATTTTTGGGGTTTAATTTCAGAAAAAGTTAATTTTCTTGAATTATATTTAAGAGGAAAGTAAATTTTCTTCACGATCCATGTTTTTTAACATGTCATTATCTAAAAATATATTTATTATCTCTGCATATATTTGTGTATTATATATCCAGGTTTTTTGTTGTTTAAAAAAAAAATATGCATTTGTATTCTTACCTTTTATCCTTACTATTCAATAGGCCCACATTGAGACCCAGAAAGCAGCACTGAGGTTTGAACGGGCATGCAGTATGCACGAGGCAGCAAAGGAAATGGTACAGCTAGCTGAGCAGGGCTACATGTGTCGGGAGGAACCATCAGATCCAGCCTGGCAGGAGATGCTGAATCATGCCACAATGAAGGTTTCTAGCAATAATATCAGTATTCAGTATTTTGTTAGGGCCATCTTTTAAAAAAAATGTTTGTTTGCCCTCTTCTAGCAGACTGGTTTAAAATGGAAACTTTTTTTAACTCGTTGGAAACAATAAGCTTCTTTATTATTATATTGATACATTTTATAATTGTTAACGAATACACTAAATGGTGCTGATTTGGTGCAGAGCTAATTGCTTAATTCTTGATTCCAGCCACTCCATACCTAGTGATTGTGCCAATTTTTAAAAAATATATCAGATTATCTATACGTACAGAATTTTTGACCAGAAGACTGATAAAAATTGTAGGAAGTGTAACTACATACCGTAATTTTTGGATTACAGGTCTATGGGGTATATAGGTCGAAAGGCTCATTTTTAGCCTTAATTTTTGAAAAATCCTTAGATAGGACGAACTTACAATATAGGACGAGGCTTTGTTTCTCTATTTTCTAATGATTCTTAAGCAGATACAACGTATCAGAACAGGTAAACCTCTAAAATTACCGGGGTAATTCCGTGACATGAACGTATCAAGAGAATAAACTGGTATTTTAATAAGTACAGCATTCAAATAAAGTTTTATGTAAATGTAGTTAAAACTTCTTTAAATCGTTTTTCTACTTATTATTCTCCAACTTGCCTGTTCAAACTTCAATGCCTCCGTAGTTTCACACTGTTGTTAAACCGGGGGCATAAATAACACGTAAATACGTTATTATTTTACAGCTATAATTCGGGAAATACCCGAGATCAAAGAATAATAATTCTGATTTCAGAACAACTTGGACACATTCCTAATATATTTTATTCAGACATTATTTACCACTGGACGACAAGTACTTCGATGTCCGCCTTTTTTATTTTTCTTCTCCAGGGATTTGCTAAGACACGCAAAGGACCATTGACTGGCAACAATTCATTTCACTCATTTTACATGTAAATAAATATAAGACAGTCACAATAAAAAAAATATTTAATATACTATTTCAATATATTGCTATTAATAAATGGTAAAAACACTTCAGTTGTGATCGTGAAAAATTTTCCGTATTTTAAATTTTGATACGGTTGCGGTTTTACTTTTGGTACACGATCGCGACTTCCTAACTTCACAAGATGGGTACCGTATGATGTTAATACTTTGAGGAATTATTTTATGCTAGATGAAGCAATGTTTTTTTCCTTTGTCAACAACGAATATTTAATGGAATTGTAAGAAAGCTATAGAATAGATATTTTATTGTTTACTGGAGCAATAATTTTTTTTGCTTGAAATGATCAAAAAGGTTAAGAAAGTGGCACAAAGAGGTAGGGGCTCCATTGGCGAAAATCGGCCCGAGCTCAAAAATAAATTTTATTTTTTTGATTATATGTTGTGGATGTCTATTTTTAGCTCTTCTGAGCCAAAGGCTCAAAGAGCTAATGCTATGGCCATTTGTGCGGTGTGCGTCGTGCGGTGTGCGTTAACTTTTTAGAATATGGGCCATAACTCAAGAACTCCTTGGCCAATCAGTGTCAAATTTGTCACAGGGTATCCTTGGCCCAAGGGCTTCCATTTTTACTAAAATAAGTGTTGGGACCCTAAAACAAGGGGAGATAATCAGGAAAATGAAACCAAAAGTACTGGTTGCTAAAAAATCTTCTTCTCCAGAACCACCAGGCAGATTTTCACCAAACTTACATACAAGGGTCAGGATATGTTGAAGATTAAAAATTGTTCAAGGCATGACCCTGGGGCAAAGGGCGTGGTCTCAAGGTCACTTTAAAGTTGACCTAAATTTACAATTAATAAAAATGTCTATATTTTGCTTACTATAAGGACTAGGATCATCAAATCTTGTAAGTTGATGCATCTTAGGACTTCACATCATGTTAACTCAAAAGTAGGTCACGGTGACCTACTTTTTTAAATTTGCTGGCATTTGTTTTCAAATTGATTTGAAGGCATATTTTGGACACCTTAAGGCCTATGATCATCAAACTTAGTCAGTTGATGCATCTTGGGTCCTTGAACAACGTCAACTTAAAAGTAGGTCAGCATGACCTACTTTTTGAACTTTATGACTTATCCTTCTTAAAACATTTAATCCCATTATTTCATGCACTGAAAGGTTTAGAATCATCAAATCTTGTAAGGTGCTGCATCTTGGGACCTTAAAACATATTTAAGAAAAAGTAGGTCACTGTGACCTACCGTAATTTCGGGAATATAGGTCGATACTTTTTTTCTCAGAACCGCTGGGGTCGACCAATATTCAGAATTCGACCTATTTAAGGCTCAAGTTTACGAAAAATGCCCCCAAATCAGTAAAATTTACGCCAATTTCAAAGCAAATCTGTGCCACTTTCGTAACTTTTTTGATTATTTTCGCAAAAAAATTAATGCTCCAGTAAACAATAACATATTTATTCTATAGCTTTCTTACAAAATAAGTTCCATTAATTATCTGTTGATGACAAAGGAAAACAACGTTGCTATATCTATTAAATAATTCCTCAACGTATTATCCATTAACATCATGCGGTATCCATCTTGTGAAGCTAGGAAGTCGCGATCGTGTACTAAAAGTAAAACCGCAACCGTATCAAAATTTAAAATACGGAAAATTTTCACGATCACAACTGTTGTGTTTTTACCATTTATTAGTAGCGATAAATTGAAATAGTATATCAAATATTTTTTATTGTCTTATGTTTATTTAAATGTAAAACGAGTGAAATAATCAATTCAATTCCTAAATTTAATTTAAAAAAAAAGAAGTCATTAGTTTTTTTTTTTTAATATTAATTAATTATTTACCGGTATACACAGATTGGCTTCTAACAGAATTTTAATTGTCTGACAGATAAAGGGATTTACCGTACACTGTGTACGCAAAGGTGTTTAACACCTGTGTTCACTGTTGGTTTAAATGCCTGCGGGGCATGATTAAGAAACCCACGTGCCATTATAGGGTATTAGTGTTACACATCATTGAACAAACAATGTCGTGAAATTCATGTTGAAAGTCAAATTGTGAATGTACTCTCAATTAAAATTTATAAATTAAACTTATAGAGTGTTAATATGATTTCAATTCTTTACTGTTGCTTGATATATACATTCAATGGTCATTTGCGTGTTTTAGCAAATCCCTGGAGAAGAAAAATAAAAATGGCGGACATCGAAGTAACTGTCGTCCACCGGTAAATAATGTTTGAGTAAAATTTATTAGGAATGTGTCCAAGTTGCAATTGTTCTGAAATCGGAATTACTATTCTTTGGTCTCGGGTATCTCCCGATTTATAGCTGTAAAATAATAACGTATTTACGTGTTATTTATGCCTCTGATTTAACAACAGTGTGAAACTACGGAGGCATTGAACAGGCAAGTTGGAGAAAAATAAGTAGTTACACAATTCAAAGAAGTTGTAACTACATTTTTTTTTACAAAACAGTATTTAATTGCTGTACTCATTAAAATACCTGTTTATTTTCTTGATACGTTCATGTCACGGAATAACCCCGATAATTTTAGGGGTTTACCTGTTCTGATACGTTGTATCTGCGTTAAAATCTTAAGAAAACGGGAAACAAAGCCTCGTCCTATATAGTAAGTTCGACCTATCTTAGGATTTTTCAAAATTTAAGGCTGAAAATGAGCCTTTCGACCTATATACCCCATCGACCTATATTCCCGAAATTACGGTACTTTTAGAATTTTGCAAGCATTTGTTTTCAAATTGTTTAAAAGGCATATTTTGATTACCTTCAGACCTACGATCATCAAACTTGATCAGGAGATTCATCTTGGGACTCTGAAAAATGTCGACCGAAAAGTAGGTCACGTTGACCTACTTTTGACATTTTATGGCTATATTTAAGTATCTAAGGTATTTATTGGCTTAGAATCATCAAACTTTCTGAGTTCATATCTCTTGGGTTTTCGGAGAGTGACGACCAAAAATTAGGTCACTGTGACCTACTTTCGACATTTTATGGCTATATCTAAGTATCTCCAGTACTTATTGGCTTAGAATCATCAAACTTAGTCAGTTGATGCTTCTTGGGTTTTTGGAGAATGTCGACCAAAAAGTAGGTCAAGGTGACCTACTTTTGACATTTTATGGCTATATTTATGTATCTCTAGTGCTTATCGGTTTAGAATCATCATACTTTGTCAGTTGATGCATCTTGGGTTTTCTAAGAATGTGGACCAAAAAGTAGGTCACGATGACCTACTTTTGAATATCTCAGGTATTTATGGCTTAGAATCATCAAACTTTGTCAGTTGATGCATTTTGGGTTTTCCAAGCATGTCAATCAAAAAGTAGGTCACAGTGACCTACTTTTGACATTTTATGGCTATATTTATGTATCTCCGGTACTTATTGGTTTAGAATCATCATACTTTGTCTGTTGATGCATCTTGGGTTTTTGGAGAATGTCAACCACAAAGTAGGTCACAGTGACCTACTTTTGAATATTTCAGGTATTTATTGGCTTAGAATTATCAAACTTGGTCAGCAGATGCATCTTGGGACTCTGAAAAATGTCGACTAAAATGTAGGTCACGATGACCTACTTTCAACATTTAATGGCTATATTGAAGTATCTTAGATATTTATTGGCTTAGAATAATCAAACTTTGTCAGTTGATGCATTTTGGGTTTTCCAAGAATGTAGACCAAAAAGTAGTCCTAATTGGCTAAGAATCATCAAACTTTGTCAGGTGATGCAACTTGGGTCTTAGGATACTTAGGGTTAGAGGATTCAAATACAAGTGATAGGTTGTACAATTTATCAGAAGAGCGATTCAAGGCCCTTGGGCCTCTTGTTTAAAAATAACACCAATTTGTCCGAAAAACTTAATTTAAGGAGAAAATTAAGGCATTGATTGACCGTCGTTAATAGTTAACGTTAACGTTAAAAAGTAGCGTCATTACGTTATACACACACAGTTACTCGGTACCCTCCTCAGAGAACACTGAGTTAACCATACTCACTAATATTGATAAGAACAACAAAACTTTTTTGATAGTTTACAACGGCTAAATTTCTTTTGTCAGGATATGATGATGATAATCTGATGGTTGTCATAGCAACCAACTTTCTTCATAAATATGTCTCTGACTACATCGATAACAGAAAGGAAATATCTCAAAAACTTGACAATTTTGGTCGCTTTCAAAACGTTGATATGTTTTCAATTTGTTGCAATATAGAGGTCATCAGTAAATTGATATGAAGACTTCTGTTCAGTATATAATTCCTCTTAATAAAACAATTTTTTCTAATGGTAGCTAAACGCAGTTTAGTATAAAATCCAGGGGGGGGGGGGGGGGTCCCAAAGAGAAGCATGCTGGGTAGGGATTTTCCTGCTATTCATAGGAGTCTAGATGAAAACTGCATCTTTTTTGTTTTTATTCGCATAAAGTAGAGTCTTCTCTTAATATTTAAAGAAAAAAAAATGTGCATTCATTTTTAGAAAAAAAAATTGTGAGACTTTTTAATAGGGGGAGATAACTCCCCAAACATCTTGTTTTCACATGTGCAGAATTGCATGAGTCAATTAACAGGTAATGTAGCTCTTTCAAGAGGTGGAAAATGTACCCTAAAAGCACACTAAAAGAAAACCTTAGGACTTGTTCCGTGAAATGCACATAACTTATTTTGTCAGATTTTTTCTGTTTTTGTTGAGCAGGGGGGGGGGGGTTAAAAATGCTGAAAATGGATACATAAACAACCCAATATCCCCCATATTTCAGGTGTCAAATACTCCCTAGTAGTAATTGATGAATGTATTATAGTTGGATATTTATTAAATTCACAATTTTATCTTTCCATTGATATGCAGAAGTATATGTAACAAGCCTCCATTTTATTTCTTTACAGGGGCCAGTTTTGCTTGTCCCTCACCAAGTAACGTCCTGATAACGTCATACATAAAACTGTGTTTTGCACCCAATATCGTCCATGAAATATGACTTTTGAACGTCATTTAGGATTTTTAAGTACCGGTACTAGTCTTGTTAATATCTTAATATGGATATTAAAAGATGCACAGGTCTAATTACTTCTGTACAATAGAGTTTTAGGGGATATTGGAAGGCAATTGTGTGTGTTTGTATTTAAGGACTAATTGTGTGTAAATTCTGTGCAAAACGGAGGTGACGTAATTTGCATCGGGATCGATGTCCAATGCTGCCTTAAGCTTGATCAATATAATTGAAAGGGGATGCTCAGCCTTAATTCTATCGTCCCTGTTATTCTTTTGATTTACATAATACACGTATTGTTGTGTGGACATTACTAAACCTTTTTTCATTTTGATAATCCGAAAAAAATATATATTAAAATCAAGCACGCAAGACTGGGAATAGGTGATGTTTTTAAAATATTTTATTTCTGATTTTATACATGTTATCATTTAAAAAATATTTTACTGAACTACTAAAAAAATAACGTCTCTAATACAACCACAAATAGATCGGCCGCTCCTGCGGCCGAAAATAATGCTATAAAATGGACCCCTCGAAATCAAATTGCTTTAAATATATAGTGATTTCGCGAATAAACGCGTAACTTTCGCATTATAACGCGAACCTTTCGCGATATAACGCGTAACCTTCCCGTTATAACGCGAAATTTTCACGAATATACGCGTAACTTTCACAATTTAACGCGAAACTTTCGCGTTATTTTGCGAAAAAATATTATGCTAGAATAGGATAGATTAGTCATCAGAATATTTTATTTTATTTTAAAAATCTTACTATTGAATTAATAAAATGAATTTTACTTTCTTGTACATGTTTTTCAATTGTTAAATTCTTTAGACTGATTATTTCTTAAGGAAAATCTCCATTTGACATTTTTTCTAGCTGTTTTTTAATCAGTAACATTTACTTCAACTGTACCACTAGTAAATTAAGCAATCAATCATTTTGGACAAAAAATTATACACTGTAGAAACATAACTTAAAAGTGAATGAACAATGTATAATTTCATTGTCTCCAATATTGGGTTATAGAGAAGTTCGTGGACTAGCCATAAATAAAAACTATGAAGGTATACAGCAGAGTTTGTACACTTTGAATTGTCAATGTTTTCGTAAGCAATGGAATGAAAACGTGGTGCAAACTCAAAATAGGATATCTAATTTCCACAGTGAATCTAAAGGAGACAAATGAAAATCTGCTATCCAATTTTCACAAATGCGGTGGAACACAATTGACAAATTTACCTCATTTTGACAATTTTCTGAAATCTTGATCTCTATAGAATGAAATTATTTCAAATTCTCTAGAGAGTGCATAAAAAAAAAATGGAAAAGGGGTGATTTTCCCCGAAATTAATAAGCTTGAAGTTTAACTTTTGGAACTCGCATAAACTTTGAATTGGTTGAACAGCGTTGAGAAAGACAAATTGTGACGGTTAAGATGGATTCAATAGCAAGAAAGCTTAAAATTTAACTTGTGATAATCCAAGATCAAAATAGCCTTTTGATTATCATTGTATTAAATGAATAAAATTGATGACAAAATCAAAAGAACGTTGAGACTAAAGCAAATGTCTCGTTAAACAGCAAAAGTTTTGCGTTTTTACGCAAAAGTAACGCGTTTATTCGCGAAAGTTTCGCGTTATAACGCGAAAGTTACGCGTTTATTCGCGAAAGTTTCGCGTTATAACGCGAAAAATTTATTTTTTTTACCTACGAAAATGAGCTCACTGGGCTTTCGTAATATCATGTAATGTACAAGTGAGTTGAAATTTCACTGTTATCTTTTATTTTAAGTATAAACTATTTCCAAATGGTTAATGTCAACAACATTCAATCAACAATCACTTATACCACATTCAATGATTGACTTTTCATAGTCATTTCACATAGAGGTTTATCTGTTTTCGAGGAGTGTTCCACGGCATCCAATTTATTTCCGCTCAAATTACTTTTTTAATTTCTTTTTTATAAACAGAAAAGCACATGCTGATTTACTATCATTTTGTTTTAATTGTGTTCAATTGTTGCGCTGTTTACTTACGTTTTTTTTTTTATGAAAGACTAATTACACGCAGAATTGTAATGTGGTGTGTGGATGAAATATTTACAGGTACATTCATTTTATTTCGAATCATTTTTTTTATTTTAACTGTGAATGTTATATAATACTTATTAAGATGCAGAATTCAGTATATTTAATATATGAAAGCCAGTTGTCCCTATTATTCATATAATAGAACAAGATATCTTCGACAAATCGGCGCATTAGAAACAAGGGGGGGGGGGGGGGGGGGGGGACGGTGGTATTTACATGATTGACGCTGACCGATATTAACCCGGTTTTGACTTTGTAATAGTTTTCGCTTTGTTTTATAAAAACGTTACTTACATACCCTTTAAGTTGCATTTAAAGAACCAATATTAATTTATTACACGTATAGAACATTGTATATAAATAAATTGTGTGTGCAGAATGAGCAATTAATTCAGCTGCAGTCTTGTACACGTGATTCGAAAATAGATAATACCAAACTGTAGGGAGTGGGGTACAATAGCAGTCATAACTTTGTATATTTTTAGGTGTTATCAAACAGATAATGTTCTTGGAAGTTCATTCTATCGTAACCTAATTCATTATGTTTTATCCATCAACAATTCACAACTGATTAGGCAAAAACGTCACGACTTCGATGGGAAGTCCAATGCATCGTTTTCATACAAGTTGATTTTCGAAAAGGGTAGCAAATTATGAATGATATTGTTGAAGCTAGAGTTTAATTAATACATTATGCCTTTTTATTTTTGCATGTAATATTCACAAACCATTCTGTTTAAAAATAAAGGTAGGATTGACATAGGTGTGCATGTGTAATGCGAGGTACAGCGGTATATAAGGTAAATGACTGCGTGAGTGTAGCAAAATTCGGACTGATTTGGAATTATTATACCCAAAATCACAGCATATGTCAGCTACCATGTCCTAAATTGATAACAATTTCTTACATTTATTAGTAGATATATTAAAACATGTTTTTAAAATATGTACGGTGATATAAAAACACAATATCATATCTATTGGAAATTATATTGATGTAAATTATGATAATTGATTACTTGGAATGACAGGAAAGCTTTTCGTTCAGCGATCGATTTTTCATGCTCCGCAGGCCTCCACCAATACGATACTTCAATTGTTGATAGATTTGTTAATAATGAACATTTACAAGAAATTTTGTTTTGGTGGGTGTGTGCGGAGGTATTTTTTTTAATCAATTTATGGCAAAAATTATGAGATTTTGATGATTTTTGCCAAATTACGTCAGGTTTACGTCACAAATATGACGTCATAAGTAGTCAATCTCCCGAACTTTTGCTATTTGTGGAATGCAATGATGGTAAACTGTGAGATATAAGTAAAGTCGATTTTATTAACTAGCTTTGAAAATTCGAAAAATTTGGGGCCGATTTTCGCACATGGAGCCCTACCTCTTTGCTGCGAAATTGACATAAACTTTACTGATTTGGGGGCATTTTTCGTAAACTCAAGCCTTAAACAGGTCGAATTCTGTATATTGGGCGACCCCAGCGGTTCTGAGGAAAAAAGTATCGACCTATATTCCGAAAATTACGGTACATCAAGAAAAAAATCTACTAAAATGAAAGAGTGAGGGAAATGCTCAATATAGAAATATCATGCTATTTAATAATTTTCATTAGGTAAATGAGGCTGAGAAGGAGAGGAATGCCAGTGAACAGGACCACAGGAATACCATGATAAAATTCCAGGACACTGAGGAGGTCGTCCATCATTTACAGAGGGAGCTAAAGAGAGCCATTGCCAAATCTAAGTATGCCAATTCATCATCAACTCTCACATGTTTAAGGGGGAAAATCTGCTTTTTACACCTCATATCTTTTTTTTCCCCCAAGCATAAATTAACATTTTGTGATAAATTCATTAAATTAATTTTTTCCCTCCATAGAAATAATATCTCACCCTGTCACAATTTCAATATTTTTTTTCTTGTGTCTGATAATTTATATATTTATAAAAAAAAAAGATACTGTTACTTGTTTTGAGGGCACTTTAAAAACCAAGGTTCAACCAAATTTTCTGGAAATAGACATGCATGGATGACTGTCATTTTTGTTTGTTTTTGCTATGGCCAATTTAAGTTTTGGACTGGTGACTTGGAAATGGATGTGTATTAATTAATGCTCAATTATCACTAAAACATTCTTTAAGGTTACTGTATGTATTTATTTGTCTGGTTTATGGAAATTTGGCTTTTTACCTCTGTAACATGCATTTACCTATTTCTGCTCATAGTTTTTCCACTCGTCGAAGTTTCCTACAGATAAGTGATCTTGTAAACCAATATCATTTAACAATGTTGTAAGTAGTGGTTTGATTCTAGGCATGAGTCCTAAAAAGCTCTCTAATTTTGTTTCACACATCAACCTTTGCATTGCCCTTCTGTCTAAAAGGCATTGTCCCCCCATTCTTTTCCTTTTTAAAACAAAACAGCATTTTAATTTTCTGTCAAGTAATGAGTGCATGACTCTGGATGGGCAACTGCTATGGTATGCTCTAATCTTGGTACTTACCTTTCTTGTCCTAACCATTGCATTATTCTGTGCCTTTAACAAGAGAAAAGCATTGTTTAGCTTTGTTATTTGTCTGTGATTGAGATGGATCATGGAGCAAGTTATTATGGTATCTGCTAATCTGCATTTTCTTCTTGCCTCACTTTTTACATTCATCATCTTTATTTTTTTATAACTGTATTTCCATACAATTCAATGCTACAAATACTAAATAAATGAAAGTTGTGTTTATAAAATTGATAGTTTCTTCAAATAAACATACTCATGACACTCTTCGCTTGAAAAGCATTTCCTGATTTGTATGTGTATTCACCCAAATAGGTAGCTCATACAGGCACAAGAAAATATGAAAATTGATTGATAGTTATAGTAGGTGTTTATGTTTTCTTGTTCTCTATGACCAAGAGCAGTGATGATAATACATCACACATAAAATGTATTGTGGGGAAAAAAGTTTCTTATATAGGAACAAGTTTATCCACTTGTATCAGTTTAGTAGTATGAGTTGAGGAGATTGGAAACACATCGTAGAATGGAAAGCAATGATTCTAAATAGAACCAAGGGTCAGTTTTGTATTAACGGAAGGAACAAAATTTAGTTCATTAAGTTTAATCTGCAAAAAGATGTGTAGTATGGAGCTCCAGAACTTTAAAAGTTCTTTTTGGTCAGCTGGTTGTACAATATTGTGTATGAAAATATGACAAATTCTTTTTATTTGCCCATGATTTCAATTGAACAATATTTTGAAATACATATTAATTTTTTTTCTTTCAGGCCATATTTTGAAATGAAGGCCAAATTTAATCAAACAATGGAGGTAAGAATTCACTTGAACCCTAAAAAATTATTGAGAATTGATAAATGTATTTTTTAATGAATATCCAGAATTTAACAGAGTGAAAACTTTTCCAATTAATAAAAAATCTTTTTATATGTAATTTTAATTAAAATATAATGTACATGAAGTTTGAACTAAATTTAAATATGTTTCACATAGGAACAGAAGCGAGGGATTAAAATTCTAGAAGAAGATGTTGGCTCTGCAAAAACCATGTACTCTGAGGCCCTTAGGAACCTAGAGACAATCAGTGATGAAATCCACCAACAAAGAATGGAGAAAAGGAGGAATGATGAACTGGGAGAGAGGGGAGCTGGGGTGGGGTCCGAAACCCCATCCCCTCCCCCCTACAGAGACTCTGGTCACTCGTATGTTGAGGGACAACATTCTGGGTCTGACACACAGGATTTTATACCCCCTTCTGTCATACATCCATCCACTGAAAAAGCCAGGAATGCCAGTTACTTAAAAGCTGTGGACCATACAGAAGAGGAGGAGTTTCCAGTGCCAAATTTAGAAAGTGAGTACAAGTCCCTTCCAGAACCTCACAGAGCAGCTTTAAGAACTCGTAGTGTTCCAATACAGGATGAAGTGTTCACGGAGGACCAGCGGGACAGGAGTCAGTCTTTGAGACACTCTCTACCGAATCCAGTCAAAGTCGATCAGGGTCAATCCTCGTCCGACCCTTCAAGACTTCACAAAACAGAATCTCCTACTCGTTCCAGGAAGAAACTTCAGGCCGGAGGGTTAATACTCAAAATAGACTCAGGTATGGACCCCTTAGCGGGAATCCAGAGTGCTCCTATAAAACCTACTCGTTCATCAACCAGATCTCAGGGCAAGTCTCGAGGTAGTAGGAAGTCCAAGAATGCTAACAGCATTTCTCCTCAATCGAGCGTGCTCAGTATTCCCAGTGGAGATGACGGGGAGAGCTCGGACTGTGAGAGCGTGGTGAGCACGGGACCTATGTTGGACGACGATCAGGTCCTGGCTCTCACGCTGGACTTTGATGATAAGCTCACAACTGAAGAAAACTCACCACCAGCTCATCTAGATTGGCGTCGGAAAAGTCTCCCCCCAAACCTTAGTCACCTAGAACACTTCTTACATAAACCTGTAGACAATGATAAAAATGCCTAGTGGTTTGTCACTAGATTGTTATGTCTGTCAGACAAGTGTATCTTTTTATTGTTATACATTGTTGTAAATGCAGCTACCCTTCACAATGATTTTAGGATGACATTGAAGAGACAATTCCAAAATATTTGGGTCAGTGGTAAAAATAATATTTACTTTTAGAAACATTCCAACCAAAAATTATGTGTTGCCTTTTCACAGAAATCAAGCTTTATTGTAGTGCTTCAGTTAATTTATCTATGATAAAAATGAAAGTACATGTATCATTGGTCAATAATTATTGTGTAGAGAGCTGCCTGTTACTTTAGTGTTAGTGATCTGTGTTCCTCTGAGAACAGGGTATCTTTGTTTGGTGCTTGTGTATCTGCTGTAACATATTACTCAGTTCTTCCTTTTAGTAGTAGTGTGGATCAAATGACTTGTGTACCTTGCTTATATGAAGAAGATATCTCTCTATAGTACATGTATGTGTACTTAGGTTTGATATAGTTTTAAAACAAGTTTTATGGTCTTTTTTGTGACTTAACCAGTTGATTTTCAAACATTTAGGGTATCCATTGTATAATGCCTAGATATTAACTTCTTATCAGATATTTTTCTGCCCCTCTTGATAATCTGAAGAAAAATTATAAAATTACAATATTTGCAAGGTAACCTTTACTTTTTGTGAACTGATAATAAGTTTTTGTACACTTTTGCCATGTGATTTGTAAAATTATTACTCTTAAAGTATTTGTACACCATTTTGTCATTTTCTCAGTCATTTTTTTTGTCAGTCAGACTATTTAATGGTCATGGGGCTAAGTATTTTAAATAGTGGAGCACCTGGCCAGTAAGTCAAGGGGCCCAGGTTCAATTCCTTGTTTGTCACCACTCTCTCTCCTGGCTTGCTATGTTATCATGTAGTACTTCAAGTCAATGTACATTGTATTTGGTCCATAATGTAATTCTCAATTTGTGAAGTAAAATCTGGGTCATTATACATTGGATACCTTAACAGGGGATACGCCTAGTCAGTTCATACAAACCTGATCAGTATTTGTATATTGTCTGTTTTTTGATTTTACATTAACATTGATATTCTGAAATGAAAATGGCAATTGTAAAATTCAATTTTTGTTTATGTCCTCTGAAATGTCTGTCGTTGTCATAAATTAGGTGATTTGAATTTATAATAAATTTCTATCTGATTAGAAGATTATATTTACTATCAGATCTCCATTTCTCTTTGAGACTAGTTCTCAGTGCCTCATTATGTGAAGCATAATCAAAATAAATGTCGTATTCCTTCTGATCAGGCTAGTACTATCCACTCAGCTTATGATTCATTTTTATTGGTATGTGTATTATGAATGAATTTTTTAAAATTATCTTGGAATAGGTTTGGTGCTTTTGTGGGACTGCCTCATTTTCTACAACCTTTATTGGATAATTAAAATGGAAGAAAACCCAGTTCCCCTGTTTTATGTCTTAAATATTTGCTCTTAGAAAAAAGTAGAACATTTCTATGTATATTGTGTTTTTATTTTGATACAGTTCCCCTTTCATTGCTTTGGGGTTAATTCATGTACCCAAGGGTGTTTTTTTCCCCAATTTCCAAACATTACAATTATAAAAGTTGAATTTTGAATGTGTGTGTTGAAATGATCTTTTTGTTGATCACAGAAAGAATTAGGCATGTCTGTAATACTTCAAATTAGTTTAATGTTGAATGAATAAGAAAAAAACCTTAGTTAACGCTGCTGTATTGAAAAAAAGATACACCAAATATTGTATGTCTTTTTTATTGTGTGAATTCTTATGCTTAAAACATAATTTGGGTCAGAATTCTTTTAGATTTTAGTGTTTACTTTATTTATTTTAATTGATAACATTCAAAACTGTCTGAAAATCTTAAGGAAAGAAAACTAGCTATTATTGGGCATTTGCAAGAAGTGCTGACTTTTACAGTTGAGGGCTTAAATGAAGACAATCTACGGAGACTCCTCTTTGAAACATGTTTGCACAAATGGTTGTAGTAACAAGAGTACATCTTTCAAAAAATGAAAATTAAATGCTTATTTTATAAATATTATGTCTTTCTTATTGTGGTCTGTCTAACAACACAAAAGTCTCCTATAGATTAGTAAGTAGTGTAGAGAAGGTCCTTAAGCTGTGTTATTCTGCCTTCCATAGTATATTTTGTTGATTGTATGTACAAGTAAATTATACTAGTGCTCCAAATCCTTTTTGTATAACCACTTATGAAGTCAAAATTTTGTGCCATCATACATAATGCAGGTTAAAATGTCAACGTAAGCTATAGCTATAAACTGTAAAAATCAGTGCTTCTCGCAAAAGTCCTATATGAACATTGAAGTTGAATCACAACCAGATACTGCATAATGTGTGTTAATGTTTAGGAGGTAGAAATAAAATTATACATGACTGACTTGATGTTTTTTTTTTTTATTTTAATTAAATGAAAAATAATGCTCCTACATATGCTCCAGTCATTTCTTAGAACAACTTAACAGCCATTTCAACCAATTTTTCCCACTGCATTTTTGAATGAATTTAAGGACTAAGTTTACGTAATTTATAAAAAAAAAATCATATGGACTCATATGACATGGTGACGTACCTTTGAAACTTTGGGGGTTTTGTATATAAAACTTGTTTTAAAAGAAACTATTCAAAGAGAATTATTTTCATGAAACCTTAATGCATTAATACAATTTTTTAAGTCACATAAACATTGAACCCTGATAGGCATCTATGTCCTATAAACATATATTTTTCTAATTTTATCTTTTCATTGATTAAAATATTGGTGATACTCTTATCAAAAGTTCATACACCGGGGATATTTATTTTTTGTCACATGATAGACCTGATGTATATAGATAAAGGATGAATTTCTCCTGAGTACATGTATCCATATTAATTTAGGATTTCAAGAAGGATTCATCCCTTAAACTCAGATGAGTTAAATTCTCATTGATTAGGGAGTTTTATCTCAACATTTCTTTAAAGTCTAATTATCATTAAATAATTTACAAACATGTCAAAGAAATCGATAAGGTCATGAAGGTTTTAATTCACTATTACATGTAAGTACATTTAATACTGCTTACAATTACTATTATGAAACGCACTTACCTTTACATATACTTCCGAAAGAAACATACTAACAGAAAACGAGGGAAATGTATGGCTGGAATGGAAATCAAACTTGCATCTATACTCAGGTGCTCTACCGACTGAGCTACATAAGCCTGTTCCCACTGCCCAATCCATTACATTCCTCCCTCCTTGAATTATCCTTGTCATCAAAGACACAACCCAAGTTCTTCCACTTGTAAGTCCAAGGGTGATCCAAGGCACCAAATTATGTTTAACAGGTGAATATAATTGGTCGGACCAGGAATCAAACTTGGGACCCCAGCATCTCTGTTAGGTGCTCAGTGGCAATGCACTTTGAAAAAATTATGCTCTTTGAAAATTTGTTTCAAAGTGCATTAAAATTTGGACAAAATCAACGCACTTTGAAAAAAATTTTCAAAGTGCATTAAATTTGGGACACACTCAACATGCACACTTTGAAATTTTTTTTCAAAGTGCGTTAAGAGTGTACCATTTTTTACCATGTGGACATCTAACGCACTTAGGAAAAAATTTGTATAAAACAGAAATTCTAGACTTAGATTTAAGTAATAGAGAAAATCAATTTGTAATAAATATATCTTTTGAAAAACGTTTTTAAATTTACATGTATTGATTACCCTCATTGAAAACAAGGAGAAGATGAGTATATAGAAGGTCTCTAAGCCCAACTCGTTTTTTCTTATATACATAACCGTCAGTAGCAAATTAAAAGTGGACCCTCCCAAGGTAAGCCCCAATTTTTAATGCCTGTATTATGTATATCTCTGCAAAACATTTGTGTGACTATACAAATTTTTTTCAAAGTGCGTTAATATGGTCAATATCAATGCACATTGAAAAGAAATTTTATTTTTTCAAAGTGCATTGGTGTGGTCCCAAATTTAATGCACTTTGAAAAATTATTTCAAAGTGTGTAATTTTTCAAAGTGCATTGTAACAGTGCTCTACCAACTGAGCCCACCATATTCCTCTCTCCTAAAAGATCATTACCCTGAAAACAATCAACCCAATGTTCTTACTTAATTGTCAATATCCCAATATCCCCTGTAAAATTCATGTATTTCAAAGACTGAATATGTACATACTGTAAATCACTTTTTATTCGCGAGAACTTTATTTTCGCGTAATTACGCGAGACAGCGAGCTCGTGAAAATTTAATTCTCGCGTATAATAGTATTCCTTAGGATAATATAGAGGAAGAACCACAATTCGTGAAAATTTCGTCTCGCTTATCAAGAGTGAATGACTATATCGCAAAAATAAGGTGTCGCGAAATTTTAGTGATCTACAGTACCTGGTAATGTTTATTTACACTGCCAAAAGCCATTCTGACTGGCTATTGTATTTACGGAATTCTTGCTTTCATTTGATTAGTCTAATGAATTACATTTCACTGCGTTTTCCATGGTGAAGAAATAGGCATGTAAAAACCAATATACAAAATAATTTAAAGCTAAAAATTTTCCATTCAAATAAAAAAATTCACAATTTCAATGTCCATGGATATGACCTTGAGTCAAGTTCATGACACTCGGTTATAATCTTCATATAAGCAAGGTGATATACCCCTAAATGTTGTTTGCAGGGGGTATGTAAATTGCCTTCAATAGGAATATTTTTAATATGCATGTACACTGTTTTCTAATAACAAGCATTAATTTTTTTGTTCCACAGTTCTAAAGAAACATTTGACATGGACCCTAACAGCTGTGCTCAAGATGTTATACGGTGCGAGGTGTGTGAGACCACTGAAGCACAGCACTACTGTGATAGATGTCAAGTCAGACTTTGTAAGGGATGTCTTGCAGATCACATTTCAAGTGACGAATCAAAGGATCACACAATCTCTAAATTCCAAGCAAAAACAGGGAACCCCAGCTCTCCTGTATGTGCATCTCATGACAACGAACCCTGTCACATGTTCTGTGAAGAATGCAACATCCCTATGTGCTTAAAATGCATTGCATCCAATACACACATAGGTCACAAACTCTCAATATTAAAGGATGTATTTTATGAAAGAAAAGAGACTATTCAGAGAGACAAAGATGAACTAGAACAGTTGAACTCTCCTACTTATGATGAAATAGCAACTAGTATAGAACAAAGAATAAAAGAAGCAGAGGAGGACTATGAAGAATTGATCACTGTGATAATGCAACATGAAGAAAAATGGATAAAAACAATTAAAGGATATATTGGAAACATCAAAAGTGGAATAATGGAAATGAAACGCGACCACCTAAAAGCATTGGAGAATCATTTGTCCGAGATAAATCAAAGAAAAGCAGAAGTGGATGAAACATTGAAATCTTGTCTCAAGATGTCCAAGTCAAATGATATGATGGCTTATCTGAATTACAGATCAAAGAATGAAGAATTCAAACAATTTCCAGCCAAAGTTAATGTAGTAAGTCCTCATTTCATACCAAAAAATCTTGAAGAGGAAAAATTTGGTGAACTTTTTGGTGATCTTACAAAAATGTCCATCACATCAGAAGAAAATGGCTACACAATGAAGACAGCAGACAAAACTCTAGATATCAAGTCCAGCCCATTTGCAGACTGGCTTGATAAACCAGAAATAGAATATAACATTCCCACTGGTTTAAGATGCTTTGGTATTGCCTGTGTTAATCCAGAAGAAATCTGGACAAGATGTCAGTACAACCGTTTAAAGCTCTACAGCACTAGTAATAGATCCTGTATCAAAGAAATTCTAATAAAAACCAGTATTGATATACAGAGCATAGCAGTGACAAGAAGCGGAGATCTTGTTCATATTACTGGAATTGGGGACACTATAACAATTGAGAGAAATAACAAAAAAGAGGAGTTGATTAAGTATGAGCTAAGCTGGAAAGCCCGATGTGTCTGTTGTACATCTACTGATGATATCCTGGTAGTAGAATCAGGGTATACCAGACCAAAGAAAAACTCAGAAAAGAATACTAGTCATTCTTCTTCCGAAAGTATCCCATCAGTCAGAGTTGCCCATTACTGTGGTTCAAATGAGACACAGTCCATTCAGTTTGATGATGAAGAAAATCCACTTTTTTCACAAGAAATCACTGATCCACACATCTGTGAAAATAATAACAAGGATATTTGTGTTTGTTATGTGAAAGGTTGGTCTGTGTTGAAAGCTGGAGAATTGGTAGTGGTGAGTCAGGTTGGGAAATTGAAATTCAGATATACAGGTCAATCTCCAAATCCAAAGAATAAAGAATTCGTACCAGCAGGATTGGCAACTAACAGTCAGAGTTTGATCTTTGTGGTTGATTCAATAACTAAGCAAAAACAATCTGAATCATTTTATTTTAATGGAATCAAAGACTGGAACATGTTACCAGCACAAATTAAACCTGTTTTAAATACTGGAAATAATTTTGCTTTTAAAAGAAATGTCAAGAAATTTTTATTAGAAAGGGGAATTGCAGTGTAAAAGTCAAGTTGTGTTTTAAGTTTTCATTATTAGATAAGTTGTTCCAATTACAATCATGTGAATATTTGGTATACATTCACAATACACTTCATTTTTAAGGATCTTTGTGTTGTCAACTTGATCCCATATCTTAGCTATAGTATTTTAATTTTATATTTATCTGCTTATATTATTTAACATCCAATTAATATACATGTTTGAATGTATTGGGACCCCATTGGAAATAAGCCATTGGCTTTCATGGGTTATCCTTGGTATACAAATATAATCTTATGTGAATCATATTTATAAATTCATGTCTTTTAAAAATGATTGATTCCGATATTTTATATCAATTATATTGTTTAATGCCATCTTTTATATATATATATCTTAAATTATATTGTGAATATTGCAACGTATGTGTAGTATACCAAATAAATATCTAATCTGATCTAAGGAACAACTGCATCCACATTGTAAATGAAGATGGACAATTCCTTCGTTTCATAGACTTCAATCACCTGAATGCTCATTGGCCACGTGATTTGTGCATAGACGACAAGGACAATATGTATGTTCAATTTAACAGTGATTATAATTCTTACTACAGAGGAGTGCAGAAAGTCAAGTATAGGAGAGACAATTCTCCTAACAGCTCAAAATAAGGCCATCCTTAAAAAAATGTTTGTTTGGAATTGCCGCCTTAAGGGTTTCAGACACAGGAGGGAGAGAGGAAAATTTTTTTTTTTTTTCAAAATTGAAGATAAATTTTAAATTTTTGATGAAAATCTTAATAAACAATTTGTAAATACATTTTCCGACTTTTAAAAAAGTACCGTAAATCTGGAAACTTTTACTGTAGATAAATTTTTAGCAAATTTGCACTTGCAGTGCATTCGCAGAAATATTTTTCTTAAAAATTAATCAACTTGGAAACAAAAATTTTGCTGAAAGCTGATGTCTATTTTTAACTCAGTGAACAGGTGTTTTGTAAAGCACTGGTCAAGAAACCAGGTTTAAGAAACCTGTTTACACTACAAGCTTAATTATTACCCACGCATGTAAATTGCACTCATTATATTCATTATCGTTTGATTGTTTTACAGGCACTGAGGCAGTAAGCCTCCATTTAATTATTTTGCCAAGAAACAGAGACCAGTTATTTTAACTAACCATGTATCAAATAAACATGGGCGATAACTCAAACTCAGTGCATATACTAGAGAGTTCAAAATGTAAACATGGCGTGTAAATTTAAGATGAGAAATAAACGTTGAGAAAAATAGGCCTAGTTGAATTTTCGTTTTTATTTGGATTATATTTTAGGTTTAAAGGCATACACAGCCTCAAAAAAGTTTGTTATAGTTAATTTAGAAGTTATTTTCAGTGCAAATCCCTTTGTATACTTCAAAATTGTATCGGAGTGATTCTGCAATTATTTGCCATGTTGCGATTATATTGGTGGTATTCCAACTGTGCAAAATCTAAGTGCTTTTTATTTTTAGCGCCAATGTCAATTCGCAAAATTTTGAAACGTTAAAAATTAATCTATAGCTTTGTGACCTAAATTCGCAAAAACTAATCGACGTAAAAATTTCCAGATTTATGGAATCTACCATCAACAAAGAAACCTAATTTTGCATAGATCTGACACTTCATTTCAGTGTTTTGTATGGTGCATGTGATAACGGGCAAAAAATTGATTAAATACAGAAACCTTCCTACTTTTGGTCAATAAAATTTTGTCAGAAAATTTTTTCATTGAGATGGGAGGCAATTCCAAACAAACAATAATTTTACTTTGGCCTAATGCTAAATATTAACATTCAGGAAAGTAGAAATACATGTACTCAGTTATTTAAAAAATCTATCTAAAATATTGGCAAGTTGTAATGGTGAACTTCCAACTAATGTAAAAGTACTGTAAACGTATTACATTTGGTGGTGTATTCTTTTTAGCGTTTTTGGCGGAAGGAAACATCCGCTTATTCAAGTACAATGCTAAATGTCTTAAACATATTCACATTAACAAGAGGCCCAGGGGCCACATCGCTCACCTGAGCAATTATCTAGGAAAGAGCACATATCAGATCAGAACTGAAAGTTTACTGAGGGGGGGGGGGGGGGGGGGGGGAAGGGAGCTAATTTTAACCCCCACCCCCACCCCAGTGGGTCATGATTTGAACAAACTAGAATCTACACTACCTGAGGATGATTCCCTATAAATATTACTAAACATGGCTTTGAAGTACTTGAAAAGAAGATTTTAAAAGGTTTCCTTGTATTCCTATGTAAAACTTTTATAGGCCATTTGGCCCCACCCTACCCCTGGGGGTCATGATTTGAACAAAGTTGAATCTCTACTACCTAGGGATGATTCCACATGAGTTTCATCTTTCCTTTCTCAATGGTTCTTGAGAAGAAGACTTTTCCTATACACTCCTATGTAAAACTTGGATCGGCCATTTTAGCCCTACCCTACCCCCGGGGGTCATGATTTGAACACACTTGAATCTACACTACCTGAGGATGACTCCACATGAGTTTCATCTTTCCTGGCCCAGTGGTTCTTGAGAAGAAGATTTTTAAAGATTTTTCCTATACATTCCTATGTAAAACTTGGATCAGCCATTTTGGCCCCACCCTACCCCCGGGGGTCATGATTTGAACAAACTAAAATCTACACTACCTGAGGATGATTCCACATGAGTTTCATCTTTCCTGGCCCAGTGGTTCTTGAGAAGAAGATTTTTCCTATATATTCCTATGTAAAACTTGGATCGGCCATTTTGGCCCCATCCTAGCCCTGGGGGTCATGATTTGAACAAACTTGAATCTACCCTACCTGAGGATGATTTCACATGAGTTTATTCTTTACTGGCCCAGTGGTTCTTGAGAAGAAGATTTTTTAAAGATTTTTCCTACATATTCCTATGTAAAACTTTGATCGGCCATTTTGGCCCCACCCTACCCCAGGGGTTATAATTTGGACAAACTTGAATTTACACTACCTGAGGATGATTCCACATGAGTTTCATCTTTCCTGGCTAAATGATTCTTGAGAAGAATATTTTAAAAGATTTTTCCTATATATTCCTATGTAAAACTTTGATCAGCCATTTTGGCCCCACCCTACCCCCGGGGGTCATGATTTGAACAAACTTGAATCTACACTACCTGAGGATGATTCCACATGAGTTTCATCTCTCCTGGCCCAGTGGTTCTTGAGAAGAAGATTCTCTAATTCATAATTATCTCCCCTTGGAAAAGGGCGTGGCCCTTCACTTACACAAACTTGAATCCCCTTTACCTAAGGATACTTTGTAGCAAGTTTGGTTAAAATTGGCCCAGTGGTTCTTGAGAAGAAGATGAAAATGTGAAAAGTTTACGACAACAACGACAACGACAGACGACGGACAAATTTTGATCAGAAAAGCTCACTTGAGCCTTCGGCTCAGGTGAGCTAATAAGAACATTAAGAAATGCACTAAATCAAACCTACACTAACTTGTTCAAATATCAATTTCCGCCAAATATCGTACACGCTAAATATAATACATTTACAAAACTTTTTTCCACATGGTATTAATTTGCTCTACGTATGCCGTCAGAAATTGACAGTGGAAATTTGTCCCATCGTACTCAAAATTATAAGGATTATAGTGAGAATCTAAGAAATCCACATAATTTTCCTTCCCATTTATTTGGATTAATAAATCTTTGAATAATTTTTGAGTAAATGCATCAAGTCTTGTAGACTTACAGGCTTCATCTCATTAATCATGAATATATTAAAGAAAAATAAATATTCAATATTTTAACACTTTTATTGTTGTTAAACAACCAGAAAAAATTTTTAGAATTCATAAAATCCCTGTTAAGTCATTGTCAATCAATTAAATAAAAAAAATGTTATTTCTAACATTAAACTAAGGTCATTATCGTTGCGACCAAGAAGACACGGGCGTATTGCGGTAGTAGAACAAGACATAGGGTGTCCCCATCAGAGAACCATCCTCCCCACGTAACATGTGACTGAATTTTTCCTCGTCGTGGACTCGTATTGTTTCGTCGTCACACTCGAGCCATTGTCCGGGGTAATGCTGACCGGTGATGGACAAAAAGGGACAAGTGGAACTATTAGTTTTTGGCACATGGACATAGGAAAGGTAGTGTCCCGAGGTCAAGGTCACTCCAGCATGAGTGATAATTGCATATAACAAATACCTGTAAATATGAAAATAATAATTTACTTTACAAATCCAATTGAGATCTATGAGAAAGTAAGGTAAAATAAATGTGAGAAATCCCATATTATAACTGTATAATAAGGATGTTCTAGTCACATTATCTCCCACACAACTCCAAATACATGTGAACATGATAAAAATAATGTTTTAGGTTTTTTTTCCTTCCCGAGGCAATTATTTCTTTCTTTAACAGAACATTTTTGTTCCTTTTTACTACCTACCTATGGTCAGGCCTACTACAGGGGCTGGGACACTTGTACCTCAGACAAGGGAGAGACAGCGGTATGGACACATGGTCATTTATCTTGGATACGTAGCCAAACATTCTGAAAATGCAGAGAAATAGGGTACTTAGATTGCATTATTTTATCAATTTCAGTCAAGAACTGGCACGTATTATCTGTATAAAAAAAATAAAAGTGCATGTAAAAACAAAATGTTTAGTGAACATGCATTGACTACAGGTGCCCTTTATACCTTTTTTTCAATTCATACAGATGGATAAACGATTTCCAAATTAAAAATGTTTGCCATGTGTCTACAACGTGAAATGTAGGTCACATAATAAGATAGAATTATCACTGTTTTATTGAAACTATACAGTCCCAGTTTTTAAGAACAATGTTCTGTCAACAGAATTTTTATTGCACAGACAATGACACTACACTTTCTTCAGAGAAAATAGCATACAGAAAATCTACAACTTAGCAATGATACAAGACCCTGTTTCTAATATTTAAGACAAGTTGTAATACCCTGAGCTAGTAGAGAATCGTTTGAGGTGTAATGTCAGGATGTTGGGAAGCCCCTGGTAATGCAGAGATCGCTCAGCCTCCACGTGAGTCAAACAGGTGTCACAGAAATACTTGTTGTCTGCCTGCAGGCGTTCTACCTCTGTGAATGCAAACATCAGCTTCCTCAAGCACGAGTCACTGTCTACAATATAGAGACGATAACACACTTTGTTACTCCTATCTTGTTTATTGTTTTTATTTTTTCATTCTGAATTTCCTCTTTCAATATCCCTTTAAAACCACTCATTATATAAAATAAATCTGCATCTAATAACCTTTTTTAACATCTAAGCCAACATTCTGATAACATTTTAGCAAATATTGATGTACATGTGTACATATTAATCACGATAATATGTTTTACCCATAAATGTATATAAATCATTGGCAAACAATGTATGTATAATACATTTACATTGTAATATTTGAATTATCAATACACAAAGAACAAATACTACCTTCCTCCTTTTCTTCCTCATCATCACTTTCCTCGACTTTCTCACTACGAACTGGTACACTTATGTCATGAAAATCCTCGATCCGCTCCCTGCAATTTTCACACTCACAACATTTTGTACGCAACATCATTTTCCCCATAAACAAATTTTCTATGAAGTTTGTTTTGGTTGCTTTCAAATTCACATTAGTACTTGCTTTATTTTTAGGTATGACCACAAAATCAAGTTTCTGTTTAGCCAGTTTTGGATTTGCCTTGGATGGCGAAGAGGTAGATTTACTTGGTGATAATTTCTGGGTGGCCAGTTCAGCACTAACCGACTTCAGGGGACTATTACAGACTTTGTCACATTTTTCTAATTTGACGACAGGGGAGGAGTGGCTCTTCGCTGGAGACCCACTCACAGAATTCCCAACATTTGGGGTGGACCTACACTTCACCACCTCCTCCCCTTTATCTTGATTGGATTTATTCTCCCCATTGAGGGGGACTCCATTTCCTGGATGAGGTGTGCCAGGCTTTGTGGTGGTATTTCTCAATACAGAACGACTCATACCCAGTCTTTTACACGTCCTTTGGTTTTGAAACATTCCAAGAATTGTCTGCTGTTTCCCCTTCTTTTCATTTTTATCCTCCTCCCCATTCACCTTACCATTTTCAGAATTAACATTTATGTTACAGTCAATGTCCATATTTTCTTCCTCCCCTACATCTACACCATTAATTTGACAATTCTTATTCCTCTTTTCATTGTTTTTTAACGCAAAACCTGCATCACCGTCTAATTCATCCATTGCTTTCTTTGCCCTGGGAGTATTTGGTCTTTGGACTTTCCTGCTGTTCTCAGCCTTTTTATGAGATTCCTGTTCATCATTTGCCTTTCTCCTCCTGGGTGTTACTGTCTTGAGCTTTGGTGTGATCATGGTCTCTGTATTTAACACCTCTTTCTGCACCTGACAAGCGGTATCTGCCTCCACTGGTGTGGTGCTGTGGGTAACACTGGTTTTGGCTGCCTCGCTCTGTTCAATCTGATCCAAAATATCTGGCCGGTGAAATACATTTTTGGGGCCGCTCTCTGGCTTTACCCTCGTACACCTTGAAAGGAAGTGATCCATGATGGAGTTTTTTGGCGGCTCATTATTCTTTTTTGGCAACTTTTCACAGACATTTTTCTTGATGCTGAAGAGGTCTTTCTCCGAGTCTTGAAGGTAAGATAATATGCACCTGAGGAGCTCCTGGGCATCATGCTGCAGACATCCCTCAAACATTGGGTTCAGCTCCCTAAAAAATTCAATGTTGGAAAATATTTGTTGAAAGTACAAGTTTACATTAATATTTATTGTAGATAAAAAGGCATCAACAAAACAGTGGTCAAAATTAATGTAATTTTTCAAAGCAAATGATGTTAAAAATACTACTTTCAAATTCTATATATGGATTTATACACTGTAGACCTGCCATATAAAAGTATTCACTTTGTGTCATTTAAGGAATGAAAATAGAATATCTCATAAAAAGAATATCTCATATTGGTATCAGCATGTAACTCCATGAATTATATTTATTCAAAAATTATGAACCATAAATAAAGTTTAGAGTACTTGAAGAGAGCATGTAGCCATTCAAGGTTTTACTACATACATATACCCTCCTGAGCAACAAGTACCATTATAAACTTGAATTCCATTACTAACCTGATGATGTTGAGCAGTTTCTGGGGTTTGACTGCCATGGACATAACATCTGAGGTTGCCATTTCTTCATGGTTCTCTTCTCGCCGCTCCATATTTTTATACAGCTGAAAACATTTGCAAGACTTATCATTAGTATAAATACAGTATTACATACTCTGTGCTTTCAGTTTTGTTCTTTTTTTTCATTGAAATTCTCAGATGAAAGTATCAAATGAAGTAAATTATATAAATTATTTCTTACCCTATACAAATCTTTCACAAGATGTATGCTCTTATTGGCTTCCAAAGGGTCAAATACACTGGAATCCTGAAAATATGTACATTGTATATTTTTTAAAAATGCAAATACTCATTTACACAAAGATATTGTCGATTCAAATGTTACTTCAACCCTCCCCTCAAAAGCAACATAACATTTCCATAAGACTCAACAAGGTTTATATCTACCTTGGTTGGTTGCTTCAAATACAGAAATATCACAGAAATTTTATTCATAAAATAAAAATATCTTTCAAACATTCATGACCAACCCAACCTCTTCTTTCTTTTTTTGTACTATGTACTTTCTGAGTGACAATTTCCAATTATGCAATACTTGCTTACTGGGAAAAAAATCTCCCATAGTAGTTATTGAATATTTTTAAGATACAAAGTTGTCAAATACCTCTTTGTTTAGTACATCTTGTTTTCTGATCTTTTCAACCTGCACAATTTCTTGATATAGGAGTTCTAACCCAGGCAGAAAACCTGGTGTGTATCTTAGCACTTGAAGCACACTGTTCAGAAAACAGGTATTACCTGAAATTAAAACAATCAAATTGGCAAAGCACTTACTGATTAAATATCCATAAAAAATAGTATCAATGCTAGAAATACAGTACAGAAAATTTAATTTTATTCCCTTTTATAGCTCAATCTGCTTCAAGATTTATTTTCAATTTTCAAGAATGTGGTAATTATTATAATTTTTCACCCAAATTTTCTAAAGATGCTGCTGCAGGTACCACAGATTTGGAGTTGCACGCCACAACGGAATCATCCAAACTTATCTCCTTATCAGCTTTATGGCCCCTACAAGATACTCTGGATTAATATTGATTAACTGAATAAGATTAAGAAGTTTTCTAGCACATGATTTAGGCGGACATGCTTACTCTTCATCCTCGGCTGGTGCCGTCTCCGGCTCTTCGATTTTGGTGTCCTCTTTGCTGTCATTGTTCTTGTGGACCTTGAGAGACAATCGCGGCCTCTTTTTCATTGGACCAGGACTTTCAGCATCAGCGATAACCATGGCACACAGGTCAACTAAATTAAAAAATAAAATTTTATATACAGGATATTATACGATCTATATCTTTATAATCAGTGTTCTAAAATATTTTTGTTGGGGGGGGGGGGGTATTAGAGATTCAAAATTAAAAAAATCTAAAAATAAAAAAAATGAAGCTGAAAAATTTGAATAAATTTTTCAGCTTCATTTTTTTTATTTTTTGAAACTTTTTCAAAAACCTCTGGCTTTACCTCAATGTTCCCAGAACTCAGGTATCAACTGCTAGTGCTAAAGGCATTATTTTGACATCAGTTTTGCTTTCCACTTTCAGTTTTTGGCTTGATACAGTGGAGCCTCATTTATCCGGACGCTTTGGTTTCCAGTCAATTTGTCCAGATATGTGAAGCATCCGGATATCTGAATCACCAGTTAAACAAGACAGAATATCATTTAAAAATTTCGTTCCGGTGAAAAATCGTCCGGATACTGAAGCATCCGGATATCTGGCATCCGGATATCTGAAGGTCCACTGTATATACAATGTAAACAAACAGAAGTACATTAAGTACCTTCAATTTCCATTTTTTAATGCCAATGATATTATTTTTTTTACTAAAAAGTTTATGTCCAGAAAGGCATTGAAGTTGTTTGATATAAGAAAAATTTATGAAAGAAGAGATATAACTCTAAATAAAATACTTGAGTCCTCTTTAGGGCCTGGGGTGTATATTTGGGAAGGAGGAAGCTTCAGAAGTATACATGTCCAAATGCATACAGATTACTCAAGCAATTAACATGATTAAAACATTAAAATAAGCTCAAACCTTGTTAGTTAGAATTACATTGATTTTATCATTGCTTCCCAGGATAGGCCCTTTGACCAGCACATAACCAAAAACAATCCTGTGACACCTAATTAATAAATCCAACAGCTTTAAGTTCCTTTAACTGCTGGCAAACCATGAATTATGTTTTTTTCTCTCATTTCTTAATTAGACCTGCCAAATAAATAACTATGCATAGTGTGACCTTATTTCAAGTAAGATGAGTATATTTCATTTTAAGACTTCCTAGACTTACACATGACATAAATAGTATTTCAAAATTTTACACATTATTTCACGTTATATTATCTGGGACGAGAGTCTTGCATCGGACCGAAACGACCCTGTTCTGAAAACATTCACACTTTCTGAAGCAGATTTTACGCGCCCATTTCAACTTGGATGTTGTTGGTAACATTCTCTTTTGACATCCTTGAACAAATAAATAAAATAAAAATGTTTGAATGAATATATTAAACTTTAAATTGCTTACTTTCTCGCCACGTTTTCAATTACAATAAAGGCTTCTTCATCGCTTTTCCCATCAAGTTGGCCTATTTCAGTTGAACGACTGTCAACAAAAAAATCCGGGCTCTTTGCTCAATGCAGTTTAGTTTCGAATTTAAAGAAGTAGTATGTTTTCGCGATGAAAATCCATATGTTTGTTGATAATACTTCTACAAAAAAAAAATAAAACATACATAACTCGACAAAATACCTCTTTCCTCATATACGCTATTTTGTTTTCAAATATTTCATGTTCGTATATGCGCAGTTATTTTGAAAACTAGCTCTATTTGGCGGATCTAGAAATTATTCAGAACGATGACTATCTTACATCAAGGAATATAGGTTAAGACTTAAGATGGTTAAATTGTTCTCCTAAAACAATTGAATATAATATAAAGGAGCATACAGTAGGCCGATCTACGATCTACCTCATATCGAGGAATCAGAATGGAACCAGAAGTGATATTGACAGAGAAAATTGACAGCAAACTGAAAGTATTTTTGGATCACAATGATGCGTCTGAAAACTCCAAAGAAATACAGAACGTTTTTAATACAGATGGAAGCAAATTTA